GATTGCTTGGAAAAGTGAAAGAAAGTTTTCAGCTTGAGGGTATTTTGCATACGACTCGCAAATTAAGCCAATTTAACATTAATTCGTATGCGGGAAATTCGAGCTAGCCGGAGTGGGTGGCTGGTGGCTGGTGGCTGAAGTACTTAACTGCATGAGTTGGGCATGTGTCTAATGGCTTTAAAGTGTGCCAAGTGTGGAGTGTTTCTTCAATTTTTTCTCAGCCAAATATTCGTGAAATGGAATGGAAGCGGGATATAATTTCCTTGACTTGATTTACGCTGCCTGTGGTTTGCTCCTTAACGAGCAGCTCTAGAGCAAGAGCAAGAGCGGAGCGAAGGCTTAAACCACGCGACAGTGGCTTGCAGTTCCTGAATCAACAATAATAATAGAAATAATAAAAGCATTGTGCACAATAGTGTCCCCTCCCCGATCCCCCTCGCCCACGCCGTCAATAGAGTCGCACTTGGGCTTTTGTTTATGACGCAGTAATATTGAAATCTGGATAATTGTGCAAAAGGATGTGAAAGACCGCAAATACTTTGCTGGCAACATCCACAGACCCATTCAAACCGAAGCGTAGATATCTTGAGCACAATTTCAGTGCGACAAGGACCCACAAAGAACCAAGCGAAATGGTCAACAACTGAGCCAAAGTGGACCACAGCAAGAAAGGGACAGAGAGAGGGCGAGCAAGGGGGCGAGGGAGCGAGGGAGCCAGAGCTCTGCCATGCAGAAAGTGGTCAACATTTTTGCCAGCGCCATGGGCAAGAATAAAAGACGCCAAATGCGAAATGCAGCAGCAAAGGTAGCAATCATAGTTCCATAGAGTCCAACGCAACAGCAACAACAACAGCAACGACAACTATTATAACTACTACAGCTAGAGCACTGAAAAGTAATAATAATAACCTTCTCCTAACTTCGGTTTCTGCTTCGGCTTCTGCTTCTGCTTCTGCTTCTGCACTTGCGGTAATAAACCAAAGACATTTCAGTTTTGAGCTCGTAAAACTCGTAAATGCGGCTATGCAAAAAGGCAAATTAAAAGAGCAACCAGCCAGCCAGTCAGCCAACCAGCATCAAATTAAATGAAATATTACAAAAAAAAAAAAAAAAAAGTTCAATAGTTCGCATAACTGGGTTTGTGAAGAAGAAGCAAAATTAATGTTTATGAATTCTACAATATTAAGAGAACTATTCAAAAGAAAGGGTGAATATATGATATCTAGTAAATAGAAAATTAAGTAAATTTATAAGTTCGAGTTACAATTTTTATTTTATTTATTAATTTTTTTTTAATATATGTATTTGTATATATGTATATATATATGTGCAATATATTTTTGTATGGAGCATATTTGATAATATTGAATGAAACCTATTGAACGGGAGAGTATACTTAGTTGAAATGATTTTTAAATTAATAGTCTTAGCCCGATGTATTTAATCCTTTCGAAATAAATTTATATTCCACTTTTAAAACACCCCGAATATTAATGAGGATAGTAAAATTATTCATAAATTCATTCATTCATAAATTATTTTATTATTTAGTTTTATTTTATTTTTACTTTTATTCATTTGTTTTTTTTTATACCTTGATTTTTTTTTAGTTAAATGTAAAATATAGTTTAATTATTTTTAGCACGTGTCGATATCAAATATCTTTAATTTAAAAATTTTTTAATTTTAAAATCGGAATCTTCCACAGTCAAAGCAGAATTTCCTGAGGAAGACAACTTCACATAATCATTCACGTTAATTTCTCTTAAATTCCCCCAACACCGCAACTCATTCAAAATTTGAGCTCCAAATAAAAATAATGCAACAGCTGAAGTGCACAAAAATTGAACAACAAAAATTGCATTTGCTTTCATATGCAGCAGGCGCATGATTCAAAGCACCTTTGACCCCTCCCAGAAAATAGAAAAATACCCCAAATCAAAATTAGCTACAGCTCAACCTCAGATCCCATCAACTCATTTGCTTCGTCTGAGCCATCTCAAAGGACCTTTTTGTTCATAATTAATGCTCGCTCAGAGCAAATGTTCAAAGATATTTTTCGCCCTAACTCTGCTTCCCAAATGCCTTTTGTGCGAATGTCAAAAGCAGCGACAGCCGAAACAATCAAAAATAAAACGAAAACGCGCAAAAGTGCAAAAGATTTTTACCTTTATTTTTGACTGTTACTTTTCCCTCTTATGTCTCCTCTTTTTTTTTTCTGGCATATGCAAATGAGACGGCAGGAGCTGCCCAGCCGAATGACAGACAGGCAAACACTTTCTTCGCATGTGAAGGCTGAAGCTGCAACTCCATCGTCCCAGCCTCTCAGTTTACTTTGACTGGCTGCCCGCCCAGCTGCCTGGCTGCCTAGCTGGCTGGATGGTTGGCTGCCTGGTTGCCCGGTTGGCTGTCATGATTTATTTACTCACGGCGTGCGCGTATTTATCAAACTCTAATTAATCGGTGATAAACCGATCAAGACGCTAAATGCTGAGCTACACGAAGCCGCCAGCCCAGCCAAGGAACAAGTTTCAACTCCCAACTCTCTCGACTCTCCAGTGGAGTTGGCCAGCTTGCGGTTTCTGTTTCTGTTTCTGTTTCATAGTGTGCATCCATTACCATGTGATTTGCTCGACTCCAGCTCGCATCCAAGTGCCGCTTTGCCATTTGGCGAGCATTTTGTTGTATTTGCTGAAGCAATTTGCTTTATACCCCCCAAACTGGACTGGCTCCCCAGCCCCCATCTGCTTTTACCTTTGCGATTGGCGATGCAATCAATACATGCTCGTGTCCAGCAAATAATAGACTTCAAACTGGCATTTTAAGCGTTTCTACTCGGAGACTCTCTCTCTCTCTCTCTCTCTTTCTCTCTCTTTCTTTATTATGTATATATATGTAGTTTGGATTATGGGTATCTCATGTTTCCGTGTGCTAAAATTTTTCTTTCAAATGCACACATAGTTAAGCCCGTAATAGTTGTAGTTTGAGTTGCAGCAAGCAATTTCAATATACAGGGTGATCTCTTAGTAGGTGTGTAAAAGTATTGAATGCACAAAATGAATTCAATTTCAATTATCTGCCCTTGGGTTGAATAAATTTTGATTATCTTCTATTTTATTTGCTTAGTTCCTATGTTGTATTTAGTTAATTTTCGCAAAGTAAATACTCTATATACATATATTGGAATTAACGCGAATTCAATCATTTAGTTTGTTAAGAAGTCAACAGAATAAATATATATGTACATGTATATTGAAACACATACAATTACAAATAATACCTACTAGCCAGCTTAGCCATACTAGTCAAATTAACTTGTTAGCGAACATCTCATTTGGATAGTAGGGAACACCCTGTTTATGGCATAGCAATGACCTCTAATCCACTTTGGCAAATCAATTTATTAGCCATGTATGACTTATGCCTTTTTAAATGTGCGCTTGCATGTGTGCCTAGTTTAAAGTTGAACGTTTATAGGTTGCCTGCCTCCCGCCGCCACACCCACTACACCCGCCACCACTGACCGCAGCCCCTTCCACTTGCTCACTTTGTTTTGGGGGCAGTCCGCACAGAAGAGGCGCAACAAATTTATGTTAACATGCACTGCGTAGCGCCCTCTGGTGTGTAATTTGGCGTTGTTTAGGCATCACGATTAAAGTTTTCGCCCTGACCATGGCCAAGAGTCCCCAGCATCTCAGAGCGAGTGCGAGTGCGAGTGGGGCCATAAAATATGTGTGTGTGTCTAAAAGCGGATGCATGGGTGTAAGCCATGATTATCGCGGCTATAAATGATATGTGTGAGCTGGTCTAACCGAACCCGAGAACTGGGCCCCAGTTTAGCGTCCGACGTGAGCGTGTGAAATACACAGTGGGCGTGGCCCAAGCGATGCAACGCTCACACTGCAAATGTATTTATTTATGGTTTTGTAATTACAAGTAGCAGGCGCATTCGACTTGAGCCTGGCCAACTCAAAGTCAATAAACTGTTAAATGAGAAAAATATATGAAATATATTTTAGATATATGCAGCAATATTTATATCAATTTCGTTTCAAGCGCCACTTCTTGTTCAAGATATAAATAGATAAACAGGATAAACCATGTGAAGTGGCTAACTAAGATATTCCCTGTGATTCTCCTAGACTAGAGGTAAATAATGTGTAGATCTTGCTTATCACATTCTACAGCCATTTCTGCTCCTTGGTTTCTTAACTTCTCATCTTTTCCCTTTATCTGATCTGGTTTTATTCTTGTAGCTTTTCCATTCATTTGTCTTCTTATTTCATATCGTTTCTTTTCTCTATATATAGATATATATGAAGTCAGATATTCTTCATTCCCATGATATTTTCTTCTCTTAACACATCTGCTCTTCTTCTTCATATTTTTCCTTTTCTTTTCATCTCTGCTCACACATGCGCTTTTATTGAGGCCATGCTTCATAACCTTCACACTATAAGCGCAATATACCCTTTTCACACATCTGCAGTACAGAGTATACAGTCAGTAGTTTTTATGGCGCAAGTTGTGGCCTGCATGTCTGCTGCTCTGCTCGTTTCGCAGAGGGCCAGGCGTCACTTTGAATATAAACGTTAAGTATAAAATTGAAAAAGCCATTTTGCTGCCAATTTAGCAAACACTTAAACCAATTTTGCACTTCAATCCACTGACGCACACACACCAAAAAAACCTCCAGGTCCCAGTTGCCACACATCCCAAAAAAAAGAAAGGATAGACGGTACAGAGCGGAGGGATGTGCAGCAGGCTTTTGCATTGGCATTGGCGTTGGCATTGACGCCAACAACAAGGACAAACAAGGAAGCAGACGAAGCCGAGAACGTTGCCAACAAAGTGTGAAAATGTCAAGTCGTAAAGTGTTCATGGGACTCAGTTGGATGAGAGGAGCTCGAAAGGGAGACTATCTCGCTGGGATAGCTTGAATAAACGTAGTTACTGCGATACAGGCAGGGCCGCATCTAGTTGGCGTTGTGAAAACAATCGAGGTCTCCAAGTACGTACGATTTCTGTCAAGTCACTTTAATGTAGCATAAATAGTTTTGCTTACAACTCATTATTAGTTATCGCTTTGAAAATGTCGTGCATTTGCCAGTATATTGCCGGTTCCTTAGCCTCGATGAATGAAAACGAGGAACCCATCGGATTTCCGCTGCCCAACGCCAGCGAGAATGATGCTATGTCTGCCCCGGGCAATGCGTAAGACTTGGCGAAAATCATTCCAAAATTGAGATAGCTAAAAGTTTTCCCTTAGCCCCGCGGAGCCCGTCACAGATGATGCCAAGATATCCATTTGTGTCTCCGAGATGGCCGATTGCCGTACCGAGAACTGGCTACTCAAGAAGAAGGTGCAGGAGCACGAGGTGACCATCCAGAATCTGGAGCATCTGCTGACCACAGTCATGGACAAACAGCACCAAATGCTGGCCGATGTGTTTCAGCTGCGCCAACGCAACCAGGAGCTCCAGACCGAATGCAATCTTCAACGTGAGTACCACACAATGGAACGCAATGCCCTGGTGAAGGAGCTCTGCCATTTGAAATGCCTACACATGTATGCAAAGGTGAGTTGACAGCCTGTAAGTGCTCAACAATATTTCGACTACAGCCGTTCTTTAGGGCTATGAGGAGGTCGAGTCAAGCGACTCAGATGGTCCTGACGATGAGGATGAAGAGGAGCTCGAGAGCGATGAGGAGGAGTATAGTGAGGATGGGGAGATTGGATCCGAAGATGAGATGTCTGATGATTCCTCGGGTGATTCAACAGCCTCATCCTCAGCTCCATCCTCGCCTGATGATTCAATGTGCTCTAGCGACTCAGATTCCGATGAGCGTGAGGACGATGATGAACTAGACTCTCTGAATGAGATGGAGGACAGCATTGAAAGCGAATCCGACTAAGTAGTTAAATTGCATTTTATTTTAATGAATATATATTTTGAGTGTGCTTAGAGAATTATTTATTTATTTCATGTCTAATCTCTTTTTACTTGAAGTCTGTTTCGGCTTTAAATTTACTCTTGAAAGTTAATGCATATCGATCTATTTGCGATTTTGAGCTTTATCATGTTTCTTACCCGTTCTAGCATTAAAAAACTCAAAATCACAAAAACGTGACAATCGCTCAAAACAAACGAAATAAATTTCAAAATAACGTGACAGTGCGACAAACAGGACGTCACAATGCTAAGCGCAAGGCATTAAAAACTCACGCAAAGTATTTGCATATCAAAATGCGGAACAAAACCTTTGCCAGACCGAGACTTCCAGCTTCCAACTCTCAACTCTTAGTTGATTGAATGACTGACAAATGGAGAGAGGGAGAGAGAGAGAGAGASAGAGAGAGAGAGAGGAGGAGGAGGAGGGAGTGAGTAAGTGATAGAAGAGAGTCGTAGGACAGGGAAGCATTTAAATCACTGGCAAAAACGTGTTAAGTGTTTACCTATCGCAAAAGTTGAGACACAGAAAAAATCATAACATTTGTTTACTAAATGTCGAAGAGTGAATACCCTTCGATTCAAAGTATTTAAAAAGAACATTTGTTAAGATGTATCCCTAAAGCTACGAGAATGCAAGAAAGCATTTGCTTTCAAACTCTCGGAGATATTTCAAAATCATGTATATTGCAAATATATAGATGGTATTTTATGATTATATCACAATATTTATGTATTTATGTAATCAGCTATAAGATATCAGCAAATATATATATTAAAATAAAAAATTATATTGAATAAAGCTTGGCAGATCTGTTTAAAGCCTAATCAATATAACTAACATATAAAACTTGTTGGTATAGATTACATAGATATAGCATCAGAAAATATAAATGCAATCATATCAGAAATATTTCAAAATATTAAACATATGAATACTATAATTTTAGGTATACTTTCATATTTATAATTTGCAACAATTCACATTGCCTTCTTTAAGAGTATTTCAAGAAGAGCCCAACAAGCATAACCATAACGAAACTTCAGCCAGAGAGCTGGCTTCACAATCGCCTCACATGTCTGCCTTGTGCGGCCGTGGAGCGTTTTGCCTGCAGCAAGTGTCAGATAGAGGAGTATGGTCGTAAGCGGGGCAGGGGATGCAGCGTGTGTGTGTGTACGAGTGTTTGTTGCTGGGGCAATTTATCAAGCCGCAAAAGTTTTTAGCACAAATGAGTCGTGGCAAGGCAGGTCTAAAGGTCCTGCCGCCGTTTGCCGCACACAGGATTAATGAGTCTCGTGTGTTTTAGGTAAATCAGCAGACCCCGCACTTCCCTCTGTCTTGCGCTTCTCGACCTGCGTACATCCTCGACCCTGGGCTGGCAACACGTACTAATAATCCATCATCACATTCAAGTGGCAAGTTGTGGGCCTATAAAGATCGCTTATCACTGTTGCGTGTGTGTGTGTGTGTGGGTGACAACTTTGGGTTTATCGCCTGAGCGGGGCAAAGCAGAATGCTGACAGACCTATAGATCTTATGTTAAATTTTTAAAGTACCCTTAAGATAATATAATATAAGATGACAGAGTAGAAAGATCGAACCTTGAACTGTTCATAGATTAAAGCTCTACTAATAACAAATTTTAGTCTGTCAGCTACTTCGCTTAGCAACAACAAATATAAGATACCCATTTAAAATTATAGCAAATCTCAAAGCTCGAACCGTTTACATTATTCAAGATATTCATATATCGCTTAAATAATCAACTCAACTGCCATAACCCATTCACAACGCTCTCCACACAATGGCAATAAAGCGAAAGCCCTCCTTTGTGCAACAATTATTAATGATCGCCGACAACGACTCTATGCATATCGAGTCAAGAACTGTATGCGATATCATTTATCAGCTGAGAATTTGTTAAAAAAGAGGATGAATACTTGTTGCGCACAAAAAAGATTTTCGTGTCACGTGAGAGGAAACGAACATGAATTTGACTGGCGTGCGGCTACCGGGGAAAAGCGACTGAGACTCGGACGGCCGCAACCCGCTTCCATAGCCAGAGAGATGTGAAACCGAACATGGCATAAAAGGATGGCGACTAAAATATTAATATGCGACGTGAAGCGGTGCGATGCGGCAACCTAAACGCTATGCAAATCGCATCATAAAAGGTAAAGAGATACCGAATTGTTGTTGCTGTTATTGTTGTTGTTGTTGCTGGTCAGCAAAGGTGTTGCTTTGTGGCTCCTTTGTGAAAGGCTGCCACCGTGGCAGCAACACCAACAGCAACAGCTACAAAAGTCACAGCAACAAGTAGCACAAATTGCATGTGACCAGAGCTCGGAACTCCGTTTGGACTACCCTGCGGGCATGYCAGCGTGTTGAGAGATTAATGGATTTGCTTTCTGAATGACATTGAATTATATTGAAAGGCTTGTTAAGAGCAGACATATGAACACCGCTACTTGCAGCTAGCTGGCCACCTGACTAGCGAATAAAGTTGGTTTCGGGCTCTGAGGCTTGGTGCTTGTTGAAAGGTCAACTGCCTCATGATACTTTAGAAAGGGTGCGCAACGCCAATGGTCAGCTGGTGGCATGCACACGACTGCTTGGCAAAGTAACTTGTAAACTTCCTGTCAAAGTCGCATAGTAGATTTGGGCTTATGTACCATGAAAAGACATGGAAAATAAATGTGTCTGGTTGTGGTGAGTTAACTGAGACTAAAAGGTCTTCAGGAAATTCCAGATAAATGCTCAGGATAGACTCTAAATTACACTGAAATTATTTTAGATAAGAAAAAGAACAACTTTCGAAAGCGGATTTTAAACTAAATCAGCTTTTTCAAGGTCATGAGATACAATCATCACAATCGGATTTAAAGAAAGTTAATAATATTGTCTAATAGATAGTGTCAGCAGATCTCTTTACTGGTAGTTGCCTATGGACAGCTTCAATAACATGTCCAATTCAAATTTATTTATATATGACATAATATGCAATAGTAATAATATAATATTCTTTACTTATCCCTTGCTTACGTACACACATAAAAATGAATTCATTATGCCGTTCCGCAGATTTAATCGGCAAACAAAATGCAAAACGTTTCGTCGGATCAACGCCTACCTATTTACTGAAGCGAATCAAAATCCGAATAAAATGGGAACCTGCTGAGAAATGCCAGGCGAAATGAAATTCGCGTGTTCTAAGCAATTTCAAACCAATAATCGTTGGGTGTCCTTTAAATTAAGTAACCAGAGCCATGCAAGCCGACTAATGCAGACCGCATGAGCATGTTGACATGCCTGTCAATACGTTCACGATGATATGTGACTGGCAATGGAAGAGGAATGTGTGTGTTGAGAATGGGGAGTAAGAGAGAAGTTGGGTGCTTTGAATGTTTTTATTTTGAGAGCTAATCTAAAATTAAAATCATTTTGCGGTTGGCAAACAACGATAAATGGTTAGATAGATGGATCTATAAACGATTGCTGGAATGGCTCGGCTGAGTAGTGATATATGACGATTGGTATCAGCCAGCCCGCGAGGCATGGCTGCATATATTTTTATGCCCTAATGAGAATGACAAACCAACAATGCAAATATTACCCAAAAATAAAAATAGAGAGTAGAAAACAAGAAAACCAACAACAAATGAAAGGAAAGAATCGAAAAACTCAATTAAACAAACACACGCAGACAGTTGGTTAGCTGTTGTAGGGGCTGTTTTTGTTTCGTTTCTGTATTTGTATTTGAGGTAAATGCTTCTGGGGGTGGCGTTAATAAACAGTTTGATTTTAATCAATGAACCGCAAAAGCCAAAAATACACGAAAATACCATCGAAAGGTAAATGATACGCAGGGCAGACAAAGTTTTTTTTAACTCCGCGCTGTTTAATTGTAAACCTCTTTCCGGTTATGCGAGACGTTCCATTCTTCCGATTAAATGCTTCGTATTTTCATTTGGTTTCATTCCTCTTTTCCTTTTTTTTGCCAACACACGGCAACTAAGCCAACTTTCTCCGTGAAGGGTTAGCTACAGAAATTGTTTTCTCTGCTTCTTCTCGCAGTTTTTTATTTATTTGTATTTAAGGGTTTGCTCATGCATATTTATGCCACTTAATTTTTTGTGAGTATACGAGGCGAGCACACAATTCGTATGCCTTGCATTTCGTGTGTCTGTCGAGCTCTAAGTCGTTTGTTTTATTTGATACCATTTCGCCTCAAAGCCGGGCGTAATTAGAAGTGGAAGCCCCCACATTAGCATTGAGTCGAAGGCCCATGCATATTTATGAGTATGGATTTAATAAATATTTTTATGTATTTGTCTGTTCAGCTATTGGCTCTGCGTTGCATAGGTGCATTCCTCAGACAGGATAGACTTTCATTTTGTTTCGCGCTACTCGAACTCATTTCTATACACGTTAAACAACTCTGGCATGGGGTCAGAAGTCTCTTTGGCTCCGCTATGCGGAAGTACCAGAGAGATCTTAAGTGCTAATGCGAAAGTACAACATAACCATATAGGTGGAAAGAGCAGAAAGAAAACACATGTTGCCAAAGCGTCTACAACTCGGTACCTAACATCGAAGCGAACTCTTAACGAGGAGAACGTACGATAAACGCGCAAGAGCCGAATCATACTAATTTCGAGCAGAGAAAACTATTTTCTAAATTAGAGAAAATCATATAGCTGGAGCACACGTAATGATGAGGCGTGGGGTGGAGGGGCGTGGGCTTAAGTGCAACATGTGTTGCACCTAGAGTACCGCTACGATTACGATCGTTATCACCAAATCAGCGACGGAGGTTAATAGAGCTGTACGATCGATGGCAAAGTGCGATTTCGATTAACGATCAGCGCGCAGATCAACAGCGAAACGGCACACATGATGGCCCCAGCACAACTACAGCTGAGCTCTGGATGTGGTGGACCCCGTTCTTTGCCACATTATTTACAGATCTAGCACCTTGGCTACCAGCCAAGAGGCAG